CCTGTCAGGTGATACGTACACTGGATGTCCCTGTCAGGTGATACGTACACTGGATGTAGCTGTCAGGTGATACACACTGGATGTCCCTGTCAGGTGATATGGCCTGAAGTGCTTCTACACAAATACACAAATTAATAAAACGAACTCTAAAAATAAAAAAAATTAAATTAAAAAAAAATATATAAAGAGTTTGTTTTTTCTGTATTCATTGTTACGTTTTTGTCTAAATTGGGCTCCCTGTGGCGAAAGCAGATGAGCGCTGAACAAGAAAGGCCTCGATTCGTGTCAGAATCCACGAAGAAGAAGGCTTTGCACGTTTATCATATCACGATGGATTAAATCAAGAAAATAGAGAATATGGCATCGCTAAAGGTAATATTAGACTAATATTCACACAGGGGATTCTGTGTTTCTTTACATTTCCTTGAAACGGCGAGCGAAACGTAACCCAAAGAACAATATTCGCAAGATTACAGTCAAACTTGACTTTATTTTCATTATTCGATTCGAATTCGGCTTTTTTTCAATAATAATTAATGTTCAAATCCGGATAATGATATCAAGAATCTAAAAATAAAGTCATTAATGACCTCTACGTGTTCATGCTTGAGGTGGTTTGAGAGCAAAATGACTATATTTATTCGTATTAAAGTAGGGCATGGTCTGAAGAACAGCAGACGACTGGAATATATTGTTAAAAATAAAGGGTTTCAAGGTAATTCTCGGCGATGTGGTTGGGAAGTCATGAAGTCTTGTGGAAAATATTTCACAATCATTTAGAGCGCATGCAGTAAGATTATAAAATAAAAACGAAGTTGATACTGACAAATAGAGTGCAAACAATATAACCGTGAAACTTTAGTAATACTAAATAGCACAATTTCATGCAAATGGCATTGTTTTCTATTGTTTAATTAGCACTATTTTGTACTATTTCGTATTTAGTGTTTCACGGATTAATTGTTTGCACTCTAGAAGCTATTTAGTGACCTATAGTACACTCAACAAAATTACTCGACTCTGATTGGTCGAGAGGAGTACAATTATAGCGTTAATTGTACTCCGTAGGAGTACCGAATTAAGTCACTATGGCAACACGGCCAAAACAATGTCAAAACAATTATTTTCTATCATTTTGTACTTAAAAAACACATAAATAAAATGTTAAAGCCGTAAGAAATAATCTTTTTTTATGCATTTCAGTTGCGTGATGGACTGAAAATCGGCCGCCAAATAGACAAAGATGAATGGCGTCGCTTCGCATTTTTTACTGAAATTTTGTTGAGTGAACTATAAACAAAAAATCACACGATCTTCTCGTACAATTTGGAATTAATAGACACTCGTAATGTTTTGAAAGTTCTTTAATTGCACTCGCCTAAAGGCTCGTGCAATTACATGAACTTTCAAAACATTACTCATGTCTAGTAATTTCCAAATTGTACTCGAGATCGTGCGATTTCCTATACTAATAGGTGCTAGCACTCAACCAGAACATTCTTTACACAAAAGACACTTGTAAATGATATCTTGTGTATTTGTCTTTGTATGATGAATGTTTTGTTGAGCACTAGCAACTATCAGTCACTAAATAAATACTGTTTGTCAGTATCAACTTTGTTTTTATTTCATGCACTCTATGATAGATGGTTTAAAACCTACTTTTTTATCTGAAATTGTTTTTGAATATCAGAATAGTTGGTTGGCTTGTGTCCCTGGGCAAGATGCTTTACTTTCACATTGCCTCACTTCACCCAGTATAAATTGGCACCAATGAATCGTTAGGGTAACCTGACGTGTTGGGGGGGGGGGGGGGGGTGACCTGTGATGGACTAGCATCCCATCCAGGGGGAGTAACAATACTCTTAGTCACTTCATGTTACAGAAACTGGGTTAACCACTTGCCATATGGGCGTCATGGCCCAACTTTTACTACTTAATCCATAGCTTTACCGTAGTCATAATTGCACATTGTGATTTGATAATTTTTTTTTATTCTAATTTTTAAAAAGTAAGACATTTTAATGTTACAGCATGTATTCGTATCGTGCATTGCTTGAAGTCAGTGCCATAATGTTTTGCATGTACATCCTACGTAACTCGAGCTTGAAAGCATTCTGCTTGAAGCATACTTGATTGTGACTACCCTACTATTTAACTTTTCTAAGTTCACTGTTACCAAAACTAAACTCAGGATTCCTGCCATTGTCATTAATATCAAGTGACATTGTACTCAACTCTCTTGCACCAGATAATGTATGGTTCAAAGGTTTTTATTTTTCTCTCTAAGTCTTATTACATACACAATCATATAAACTTGCACCAGATAATGAGTGATTGTAACCCTGCATTTTCTACAGATTCTTAACAGATGATCCAAAACTGGTATACTTGTCCAGGAAGAATGAAACATATTTGTCTTCTCTACCTGGTAACTTTTTGTGTGATTCTTCCATTACTGTGTCACAGAATGCAGTTCTCTCTTTATAACCTCTATGACATGGATACGAAAGAAGGCAGAGATCAACTAATATCAGAAAACAACATCAGAATTATGATTGCACGACAACATAAAAAGGTGTTGAAAGAAATATATTCCATACCACAGGACGGGACGTTGAAAAAAAATGTTGACTTGGCCATCACTGTGATAACAACTGTCAGAAATCCAAACAATCTTGAAAACTATCAACCTTTGTACCTCACTCAAGTTATATGGAAGTTTTTATGGTTGATAAATCAGGCTAAAATGTCAGGATTTCGACCTAACGTTTTGTTATCAGTATGCAACGTAGATGTAAATCCTGACAGACATCAAGAGGCTACAGATCTTGTATCTATTATTCCAGTTATCAACAGATATGGAGAACACAGTTCATTTCCAAATGTGAACATTTTTGAGAAAGAAAAACAAGATTATGTATTTTGTTTGAATTCCTCACTATCGCGCAATCCAAAGTTCGTGTTGCTGGTCGAAGACGATGCCTATCCCAGAGATGATATTTTTCTGGTTCTAGAGCATGTTTTCCATCAACATTTATATTTAAAGATGACCGACTTGTCTTTTAGACGACACCATCACACGCCTTATATAAACAATATAACATATATTAAACTCTACCACCCAGAGAGGCTATTGAGCTACTTTAGCCTTGAAYCAGACCGTTTAACTGAACTGTTTGGTACAAGTGCTTTATTTGGGACAATATTAGTAATTCTGTATAGCCTCATCATAGCAAAGCTCCCTCAGTCTCGTATCCATATAATATGGGGCTTTTTCGTGGTATATGTAGCGTTAGTTATCATAGCAATAGGAAGACCACATGTTGTTGAGTTGAGGCGTCTTTTTTCGCCATATTTATACAGCTATATGAATGCTCCTGAATGTTGTACACCAGCCATGTTATTTCCACTTCGAGGAGCACAACAAGTTGTTGATCATCTTAACTCTCATCCATGTTATCCTCGCAATGCTAAAGACAGGGTTCTAGACCGGTTCATAAAGACTGAACATCGCCATGCCTATATAGTACAACCAAATCTATTCAAACATATTGGACTTTTCTCCTCCTTAAGAGAAAAATTTCTAAATCCTTACGTAGTTAAATAATATTGCTAGTACCAGGGTTGGATCCAGGAATGTGACAAGTAATAGATCAAAAACGAGTGCRAGTGTTTGATCAAGGCATTCAAACACCGAGAAACGGATGAAAGCACAAGGAGTGCTAAAACTGGAAGCAAGGTATGTTGACAAATGAAGTGCTTTTATTGATTCAAGGTGTTTGGATGCCCTGATCAAACCGACTAAAAATTCTTTCCCAATTATTCGTTTATTCGTCAGTGTTTTGATCAGGGTCGTGATCCATTTTTGATCAAGTATCAAGGACCGTGTGTGTACATGACTACAATGCAAAGTCACCATTGGTCATTGACCTCATGAATTATTAATGAGTTTGAGAAGGGGCAGGTAGGGAGTGGAAAAATAATTGTCAGTTAGACAAATCTCACTGCTATGCAAAACGATTTGAGTGCAGATAAAAGGGCCTGTTAATAATGATTGAGTGTATATTTTAAGTAATATATACAATATGAGTGGCCGTGTTGTATCAGATACACAAACTCGAGGCGTACTCATACTGTATGTAATATTTATCAAACTCATTAATAATGCATGAGGAAAACAAAATAGAAATCATGACCGGGAAGAGTTTTATAATTCTGATACTGAATCATATCAAAATCAATCAGTTCAATGCTGGACTTGATCAAAACAGTCAATGTATGAACACATCAATTCAACCTCGATTTCTCAGAAGTGGGTCCAGGATTTCGTTCAGGGAGGGGTGTTGCGCACAATGTTAACCCGTGGAGGGGTGCACCCCTTAGAATTAAAGGCAAAAAACAGTATTGGTTATCTTCGAAGTAGGAGCACGAAGTGTAACCAGGGAGGAGTGTGCGCACCCCCTGCACCCCTCCCCTGGATCCGCCCCTGTTTCTTTTCATGGTCACTGAACAAGATCATCAACAAAATCAAAAACACAGTGATGCAAAAATATCTCATATTTAATGAATATTTCACGCTCCAAGGAAAATACTTGTACATTTGACAAAATGTGTATTATTTATGACTAAATAAAATTATGCCAAAGAAATACATTCTCGTTATTTTGATAAATTATTATATTTAATGGATTTGCTATAAATATTCCTTAGTCTGATGTAGTATATATTTTACAGCATACTTTCTAATAAAGCCGAGGGATTAATAAACGTAGAAATATGATACCAATATGACAGATTCTAGATGAACTTTCACAGAAAGATTCGAGCAGTAGGTTTTAATTTTCATTTGTTTGTTGTGATTCATGGTGCTTTAGGGTATATACAGCATCTTTTACAGCATGGTATATGATATTTTTAATCTGAAAAAATAAATAAATAAATAAATAAACAAACATATATTTCCTTGTAAATGAGAATATATATAGACTATATATTTGTACTGCGGTTATAATGTATCTAATTGAGCTGATCTGCGCAGTATATCAAGCAACTTATGCAGCTGCTAATTATAAGACTCAGAAATGTTTTTGAAATATTTGTTTGTGACCATTTTTTTGGGGAACATTTTTACAGATGTTTCGATCTGTGACCACAGATCTTCTTCAGTGTCATGACCGTGGTCACGGATCGAAACCTCTGTAAAAATGTTTCAAAAAAATTGAAGTCATAGACAAACATTTCAAGTAGTATTATGAATCCTAGCTTCAATTACACTATTTTTAACAAAACATATATTTAATTTCCCATTTGATTATTAAAGGAGGTAGTAAAAGTCTTTAGCCACTGGCTATTAAGTGCTTCCCTCGTAAAAAACAAGGATGAACAGGGGCGGATCCAGGAACTTGTTCAAAGTTAACAAAGTTAACCCAGGGAGGAGTGCACCCCTTATAATCAAAGGGAAAAAACATTATTTTGTATTGGTTATCTTCGAAGTAGGGGAACAGAGTTGAACCAGGGAGGGGTGCGCACCCCCTGCACCCCTCCCTTGGATTCACACACTGATGAAGCACCCTTGCACTTGACCAAAGGAGTTTTTCCAACTAGTTATAATTGGTAAATTCCTTGGTGATATAGGGTGGAGATAGACATAGAATAGTAGAAACACATTCTGAATGACAGAAAATATACCTGTAATTTGTCCTCATGATTAGTGTGCTTGTCAGTTAAGTGTCTAAACTCCTGAGTCGTTTTAAAGCACTGTCCAATACGCTGAAAAAGACAAATGAATAAATAAAGAAAACCTGACTGGAAAATGTAATGTAACACAGTTTATAATCATAACAACTGAATGCTGTAAATTATGCACATATCTGTGAGTAAGTCGAGCCTAGAAACTAGAGCCATCAATCGTGGCATAGCAGCAGGGCTCAAAATAGAAAACTTTTTTAGCCTGCCATAGTAAAGGAGCATGGTATAGGAGGTCATTCCAGTAAATTTTGGATGTCATTTTGTTATTCATTTGGCAGTGTATCATTATTTTCACCTGCCAAACCTGAAATTTGGCCTGTCATTTGGCCATTGGCAGGCCGCTATTTTTCGAGCCCTGAGCAGTAGTCTGTTCACCTCTGATCTCTTGGGATTGATTCCTGGACTTCCAGGTAATAGACCGTTTTCTTAAGGTTGCGTGTGCATCCAAATTTAAGGAACTTGACGGGCCACAATACCAGAACAGGAGCTTTATAATGAGAYTTACGTATCATACATATCTATGAAATTTTTCAATAAGAATTCATAAAATCAATTATTCTCCTCTTTAAAATATAAAACTGGCTTTCAATTTTACTGAATTTGCTCTTTCAATTTTGTGGCCYGTCAAGTTGGATGCACACGTAACCTTGAGAAAACAGTCTATTGCTTTGAGAGCTTTTCTCCAAGTTCTGCAGTTTTCCTTTCTTCGCAAAAACCTAACCAACTACATTCCAATTTACTATGTCAGTTGGCCGTGCGTTGACTTTGATCAGGGAGGAGGTTCTTTCAGGGCATCAATAACATTTAATGCTTTTTGAACAAATTTGAAAACCTACCTCTGGAGATACAAAATCCTCAGCTATCTTGATGCAGCTATAGAGATTCCGAACCTACGGAAGAATGCAGCCATACTGGTCAACTCTATGAACTATATCCTGGGATTCACAGGGTGACTACTATAACCACTTAGACAGCAAGAACCAATCAAATTGTATAATATAAGAACGATATATTCCAACTTTGGGTAGTGGAGCCAATGAAGGCAGAAGAAAACAATAGCCTTTTTTTTATTTCCACGAGAAAATGATGATGGTTATGTAGTTGTTTACACATAACATCAGGGTCAAATTACAATTCTTGTGCAGTCTAGGTTTCTGGTTGGCTCCACTACCCTAAGTTGGAATGCATTGTTTTCATTCTATGTTTTAATTGGTTCTCTTGCTAACTGGTCTAAGTGGCCCTGGTTACAGTAGTTGCACTGTAATATTATCAGTGTCAACAAACTTATTACATTACCTGGTGGGGAGCTCCAGCTGGGATGAACACACCATCCCCCAAGCACTGACAGATAGCATATCCTTCCACGTTATACTCCTTCTTTAATCGTGTACGCATCTCAAGATCCAAATAAAAACACTGTTGAACATTGACGAAAAAGTTATAAATGATAATAAGACCTTTTTACCGACATGGTGGCAATCTTGAATTATGAGATGCCAAGGGGGAAAATGTAGAAAACATTTTTAAAAAACTCATTAATAGTTCATGAAGGAAACACGATAGAAATCATGACCACGAAGGAGGTTTTATATCTGATATAGATTCGTCTTCATTTGCATAAACTTTAACTTGGATTTTCTCTACCAAACTTGGTTCATTTCGTAAAGAATTCGGTACAATATGAGAACATACATCCATGAGTATACCCGATAAAACACTCCTGCTCATTTATTAAAAATTACATAAAGCACGGAGTGGCAGAGTTATGTTAACTTTCCAAACAATTTGAAGTCTTGGTGTTTTGCAAATTGTTCCAGCTACCAGCAAATTTCATTGCTTTTTAGATGTGCTTCTCATTGAAAAGCTTAAAGTTATAAATAAAGACACCCTGACAGGTGTGCAGTCTATAAATTTTCCAGTAGTTGCTCCATCAGTGTCTTAATTAATACTAACATTACAATATGAGGTGGTCATCAAGTGGATTACAAGGTTTATTTTATTCTGTTGTACAAGACAATATCACATTGTCCTAACCTGATCATGTATTGGATCGTGGTGTGCTGGATAYTTTAACTTTCGTTCTTTAGCAATCTATTTCAATAATAAAAAGATAGTTTAAGTTAGCTTAGTGATYATTATCCACTGATGGCAGCAGGACTGCCGAAACATGTCTATTAAAAGAGTCAAACACTAAAAGTGTGCAACACTTTGCACTATTTAGTAGTAAATAGCGCTAAYTAAACAATAGGAAACAGGATTAGCATAATTTAGAAGTATTCAGTGGTATTTATGTTACACACTTATAGTGTTTGTACTCTATTATACCTGAAGATTATTACACAATATTTTCTGCTTGTTAGACCCAATAAAAAGATAGATTCAAAAGGAGTTTCATTGAGATATTGTGGTACATATTATTTGTACTCGTGCATCATTCTTTGTCATAACGAAAGCAAGTGAGAGAAATGATATTATATTACCTCACGAAGAAACTCTCTTATTTTGTCAGCATCATGGACTTCAAATATATGCCACAAAGCACCCTGGATGTGGAAAGCAACTGAGTTAACACAGTGTTCTGTTTACTAGAGGGTAACATTAATCAGTATTGATAAATAGTTTTGGGAAGCGCGGGTGGCGTAGCGGTGTGAGCGCTCGCCTCTCATCAATGTGACCAGAGTTTGAGTCCCGCCAGGTTCAGTGTTGTATATGAGTTGAGTTGTTGGTTGGTTCTCTCCTGTACTTTGAGGGTTTTCCAGGTTTTCCGGTTTTCCCCCCCTTCGCAAAAATCAACTCCTAAATTCCATTTTGATCACGGAATGAGAGCCACAGGTTTGTTAGCCACTAGCTATTAAGTGCTACCCTCGTGAAAAAAGGACATTTTCATTTATTTATTTATTTTTATTTATTTTCATTGATATACTACAAATGACTCAAGGGTAATAGAGAATGGTAAACAACAACCAGAGTCAATAAAAGCATACTGAAATAAGGAGAAGATTGATGAGGAACAACTCACAATTCTGGCAGTTTCTCTTCGTACTCTTTGCTGCTGTATCTCATCACAGGCAACATCAACGGCTCTGATGGCATCTACAAAACATGACGACATTATTTTACTACCTTCTCCTACCACTACCATTACAATTCAGTAATGGAAATACTGAAATCCTTTATTCAGTCCTCAATTCATCTAATCTCCTTTGTTAGTACTGAATTAAAGATGGTGTAGATCCCCACACAGATATTGATATTCTGCAGAATGTGATTATGTAACACAGTCTCATTATACACTACACATTACCTAATCTTTCCTGTTCACCAGCACATTTTTCTCGAGGAACTCCAACATACACCTAAGATAAAATAAAGCATATCACACCATTACAACCAATTTACACTATGTACTGTGATATCTCTATCGGTGGAAACCCTTCATTAAATGGACAGCTAGAGTAGTTGCATGGCCCCAAAAGTTTTCACACATTATTTTACTGTAAAACATTTAGCAGACACCTCAAGAGAACACCAATGAACAAAACCTTTATTCAGCAGACACCCTATTAGGTGGACACCAGGGAAGGTCGTGGTGTTAGCTTAATACAGATACAGGTACGTACCACTGTATTTACTGTACAACAAATTAAACCTATATTCAGTAGACACCCTATTAGGTGCACACCAGGGAAGGTCATGAAGGTGTATGCCTAATATAGGTACCACTGTATTTACTGTACAACAAATTAAACCTCTATTCAGTAGACACTAGTACTATTTGATATTAAACCTACCATGATATTAACAGCATCGGACATGTCAATGTGCAAGTTGGTTGTGCCTTCCGTAGGAAATGCTGCAGATCCTAAAGAACAATATAATAAATAATTATGATTAATACTATACATCTTTATTTTGTGTGTTGAGTCTCCCTAGCCAGAAGCTCATACCTAGGGTAAGTATACTTTGAACACACTCACTAACTAACTAATGCATTTACCCGGGGGGTACTCTTGCCCATTTAGGGTAGGGATGTGCCGCTGAGCCCTCTGAACCCTGACTCCGTTCCAGAGTAAAATCGCTGAAATTCATACCCTGTTCCAGAGCAAGATCGCTGAAAACCCTGTTCCAGAGAGGAGAGAGCGTGATTTCATATACCCTGTTCCAGAGCGAGCGCGATTTTATACACCCTGTTCCAGAGTAGAATCGCCGAAATCCATACCCTGTTTGGCGGCATGTACCCGTATAGCGAATATAGGGGAGTCCCCCCCCCCCGGGTACATTTAATTTTTCGATTTCACAACTCTCAATTTACATCTTGATTTTTGCAGAGGGAGGAAAACAATAAATCAACAACTGAAAAACACCAGTTACACAGTTGGATGAATAAGGGATGTTTTGATATATACCGATCATGCTGTGTGGGGGCAAAACGCAACAGCAGTGCCAAGATGCCTTGTCAGATCCACCAAATGAAGGTCATGGTCCATCACACCACCATTCCTCCATCGACAGTCCCCATCCCCCAGTCATTYTATGGCCAATAGTTTGTCAAGAAATAACACTTATTCTTACAGTTTACACTTCACTGACTTACCATAAGCATTGTACATCTTGGGTCCAAGGTCTGGTTTGACAAAGAAGTTTGGCAGCCTATAAAAACAGGTAAACAAATTCATAATAATTTAATAATTCATTAACTTATATTGCGCAAACATCAACATTGCTGTTTTCTAATGCGCATTACAATCTAATAAGAAAAGATAACAATACTAAAAAAA